ACAATATGTTATCACCTAACCAATACGGATTCAGACAGCACCGCTCGACCACTGACGTACTGATAAACTTAGAGACAAGCATATGCGAAGCATTTCTGAAAAACGAATTCCTTATCACAGTATGTTTGGATATTGAAAGAGCATACGACTCAATACCAAAGACTACAATTATCAAGGCCCTAACTAAAGCTAGGCTAGACGGCAACATATTAGCTTTTATCAAAAACTTCCTGACAAACAGAACCATCCAAGTGAGAACGAACGGAACCTTTTCCAAACCAACCACCATACACAATGGAGTTCCACAAGGTTCGGTCATCAGCGTTACGCTTTTCCTGATAATAATTAACGACGTTCTAAATAACATCAAGCCACCAATTCAAGGAACACTGTTCGCGGACGATTTAATAATGACCTGCAGCGGGGAAAACCAATCCACTATCATTGAGCTCATACAGGATAGCATCAACGACCTTCTGTCATGGTCCGAAAAATCAGGACTTAAATTCTCTCCCCAAAAAACAAAATACATCATCTTTTCGAGGAAACGCAAAACAATCGTACTTCCCCCTAATCTCTACATACGAAATACTGTAATCGAAAAAGTAGACAGCATTAGAATACTTGGACTCATCTTTGACCATAAGTTAGCGTGGGAGCCACATATGAAATATCTAAAAACTACATGCACAAAAAAAATGAATATCATTAAAGCTTTGACAAATTATAGCTGGGGAGCTGAGCAAGAAATCATCATACAAACCTACCAGGCTTTAATCAGATCCAAACTCGACTACGGGTCAATAGTTTATAACTCGGCTAAACCCAATACCCTGAAAACAATCGACTCAATACATAACGCCGCTCTAAGAACAGCCACTGGAAGCTACAGGACTAGTCCAATAAACAGCATATTGTTTGAATCAAAAGAACCATCATTAGAACAAAGAAGGAAATACCTGAGCATAAAATACGCAGCCAAAATGTCCTCCACTCCAAATAATCCCACATACAACAACATATTTACAAACAGATATACCCACCTGCAAGCTAAAAAACCCAAGCTTCCAAACCCATTCTATGGAAGAATTGCCAAATGCGATAGTTTCACTGTGTAATTCTTGTACTAGGATGGTTAATAAACTACACTCATAAAAATAAATACCAACACTTTCATTAAATCTTTATTAATCACTTCTCAAATATATCCTTCTTTCCACGCGTGCACGCTTCCCTTTCAATCCTTCTTTTTTCCTCCTTCTGTTTTTCCCGCTCGTCATTTCTCTGCTCGGCTCCTCTCGACCGCCTTCGGACATTTCCGTTCTCTCCGGACACACACACACACACACACACACACACACACACATACCCACTATTTCTTACAACTGTGATTACATCAACACCAACTATTCCGTGTAAATTCAGGAAGTTAGCTCCCTGGATTCTAAAAACACCAGAAATCAACGTCGACCTCGCAAGGTTTCCTAAAGACCAAATAAGCAGCACAGAACATAGATTTTACTTCCAACAACTGTATGACAAATACCCAAACCATCAAACGATATACACTGATGCATCAAAGACTGACCAAGGAGTAGGAGCTGCCATCGTCTGCGACACCACGACAAAGAAATTCCACCTCCCAATAACCTCATCCATTTTTACAGCAGAAGCCTGGGCAGTTCTTGGAGCTCTTAACCACATACGTAACCACAATGTCCAACCCTCCATCATTTTCACCGATACAATGAGTGTACTCATAGCAATAGCAAATGTAAATCGCGGAACCGAACATGGAGTCATTCTAAACATCCATTATACCTATACGGATCTCATCAATAACGGTAAACAAATAACCCTAGCCTGGGTTCCATCTCACCAAGGCATCAAAGGAAATGAGGCAGCCGACATAGCCGCTAAAGAAGCAACAGCACTTCCACCAGATAACATCGTCAGACAAGTCCCACACCAAGACCTCATCGTTGCATTACGCCATATCGAACAACAAACATGGAATAAAATATGGACCACATCCAGGAAAATAAAAACACATGACGTTACCCAAGATTTTTTCCAAATTATGCCTAGCAGCAATATGAGAAGGAAAGACAGGATAATCATGGCCAGGCTTAGAACTGGTCAGTGCAAACTCACACATGAATACTTAATTAAGAAAACAGAACCACCAATGTGCACTGTCTGCAAGGAAACCATTACAACCAACCACCTATTATTCGAATGCAGGAGATTCAACACCCAAAGGCAGAAATATAAAATAACATCGACAGAAGTTCTGACGACAAAGAAGCACATAGAAAATACCCTGAACTACCTAAAGGACATCAACATCTACCACTGCATATGACCGGACAGAAAGAAGGAAACAGATCCTAATCGTCGCTAATGATCCATAGGTCGATGCGACGTAAAAAAAAAAAAAAAAAATCGGCAAATTTTCGAAAAATTTTCTGGAAGCATTCACTTAATAAGGAATTAATAAAAAAATCGAAAAATCATATACATATAAGCACTAGTCTCGTCATTTTTATAATTATTCATTTCATGTTCTTGAATGTCACAATACAATATTTGTTTGAAATAGAAATACTTGAAGACGACTGTGATTTAAAAATAAAAATCGTTTACAGTTTCGGGTTTCCAGAAATATTGTAAACAAGTACAAGTTGTTTTTCGTCAAAATCTTTTACAGTTCTCAAAGTAGCATTAGAGTGTCAAATCTAGGGTAGATTTTTCTCTTAAATTTATCTTTTATCGTTGGATGATAAATCTGCTTGATAAAAATCGATGTGTAGGGAAAATTTCGAAATAAATGAAATATCTACCTTAGATATAGCCTTAAGAGAACACGCATAAAAATCAGATGTGACATTTAAACGCGCGAAAGTTGAAAGAATTAATAAGCAAGATATTCAATTTTAATGAAACACGCTTGGAATATGCGTTTGAAACGACTGTTAACAATGTGCACTTGTTAAGTTGTCGTTTTGTCTTCATAAATTTCAACGACAGTTAATCTATAAATTTCGCGAAACGTCAGAGACGAAACGATCATTGTTAAATGAAATTGTATTCAAACTCGGAAAACAACGAGTGTAACGGAACAGAAGGGCGTAAATATGATTAATGATTCGTGCCGTAGCATACTGCAGTCGCAATGGCACATTGCAAGAATTGATGCACTGATGAAATTTCACGGACGTCATATAAACAAGATAGGGGAAGGAAAGGAAACTTTTTCAATCGAAGGCCGTCCAGTCGCGACCACCATGAATTTTCATTTGTTTTCGCATCCCCGTGGACGAAAGGACGTCGAATGAGTGACATTTTGCGTGACGACGGCGCGAGGGCGGTTTCCGTTAAATTATTACGCTCGTAGGAGACGTCTATTCGCTTAGAAAAATTTATGTCATGGCTGCTAAAACTTCGAATCATGTATTATGCACGCGCAGCATTTTTTAGTAGGAAGCGGAAACATTGATGAAAGAAAAATTAAAAGTAACAGTAACGAAATTTCGTATTCTGCAATCGTACAAAATATAGGATGGAAAGAGAAAAATGGTAGTAAAATTATTATTTACACTCTCGATTAAATTTGAAAATATAATCAAGTTTAAATCTGTGTTTAATAGAAATTGTGAATTTTAATATTTCTTTGATAATTTAGGAGACAAAGATTGAGAACTGATTTCTTATTCTTGAAACCAGCAAATAGTGAACGTATTTTTCTGTTATAAAACGGTTCTTGTTTTTAGAAACGAACTCAAAAATTCTTTTTTGAAGGTTAATTAAATTTCTACACGCTTTCCTTCACATTTGCGTGCACAAAAGAACAATGAACAATCTGACCCATATTATCGTTGTAATAAATTCTTGAGAAGTCAGAGACGATAAGGTAATTTTTTCAGAATTTTTAAAATACTTTAAGGCGTTGAAAACCATAATTGGATTTAGAAGAATTTTATATATTTAAAATAAAAATACAAAAAAAGCTGGATGATGGAGGGGACAATACCTGTCATTTATATTCGATTATTATTGTCAGGAAAGTAAAACTAAATAAGTGTCGTCTATCCTTTCTTCAAAATATTAAAAGCAAATTTTCTAATCGTATTATCGACGAACGTGAGATTATTAATGTGGCGATAAAAGCACTTTGATAATTGAATTTACTGCAAGTGTTACAAAATAAGGCCACAGTAAAGTATATCATTACAGAATTCACGTGCTCTAATTTAAAGGAAATCTGCAACAGAACAATAGAGGTTTCAGAATATTTTCTATGAGTTCATCTAACCGTTTTTTAACTTTTTGTGTGTCCATTGTAGTATGCTGTAGTATAAATTATGGAGTTTGCAGATTTAATTCGAATATTAACGACATCATTTTGTGTCAGACATATTTATCAACAGTATTAATATTTTTAAAATAGCTGACACAAATATTCTATATTACCTTCGATATATAAGTAGTCAAAGATAGTGCATAATTTCTATTTCTAGATCGTAAAACCACCTCGTCGATTCCCGAGGATTCAAGTGGACTTTCACAATATCGTTTCACTAAAGATGCACTTACTCTCTGTCTGTTCGAACAAGCGATAAACATTTTATACGTGTAATTGCAAGATCAAAGCAAAGTAGAACTGGGAAGCTATTATTGGGCACACGTGCAGACGCAAGGTTAGGAAATGGGATCTTGGTTGCTGCCCAACGCGTAACAAAAACTTTATGGTTTTTCGATTTTGCCCGATATTTTCTAAAAATATGTAATTTTTCGCGAGAATGAACTCGACAAAATAATAATACTATAATTATAGATTGAATAAAACAATTATAATTTGATTCTATGATAATTATTGTATGACGCGTAAAAATTTTTCTATAATTGTATTTTTCTTTAGACACGTCTTTATTGATTTCGACTTTGCTCCTTGGGATGCGTGAAACGTTTTGGAGATGCGATAAAATGTACGGACAAACCTTATCAGGTAATGGTTCGGCCACGTGGGGTGGAGGTAGCGGAAGTGGCTGTATTATTCGCCGTTGGCGGTGATGGAAACGGCGTTTCCACCCAAAGGTGGAATCGCCACTGCTCACCGTTGAAATCAGCCCGACGACAACGACGGGTAATCCCCACCTAGTTTTGCAGCCTGCATCAGGATGGCTCCATTGACCTCTATTCGGCAGGATCACTAAGACAGTTTTCACCTTCCTTCTTATCCTTTCCCTTCCTTCTTTTGTCTTTCAACGATCCCCGAGCCCCTTCGTCAACCTGAAAGTCCAACCATCAAAGTGGCTTAGTAACTTACTCCGAAACTAGCTACGCACAGAGCAGTGAGTAAAGGATAAAAATTTGATTAAAGGGTTTTAGATTAGAGCTTTCGAGGGCTTGAGAATTACGATAGACGAACGATATTTAACAGTTGTCGATTTTCACAAAACTTTGCAGTTTTTATTTGATTAATTAAGAACTTTGTCTTAAATCGATTTAAGAAAGAAACTACCCTTGTCATGTCAGTAACACTTTTTATTTAAGTGTTTATAACTCGTAAACTAGGAAGCATGTTACAGAAGTTTTAAAGAAATATTGTATTGCTTCTGGAGACCTATTTAGTTAAATTTTAATTTTTCTGACAAAATTATTTTTTGGAAAGTCGTTCTCTGAAACCTTCTGCGTCGCAGCGTTCAAGAGTACCCTGGATCCTATAACCTCCTTGTTCCGAAGATCGTGATCGTGATCGTTTACCTCTTGACGCATCACTGCCAGCCAGAGGGTTATTAGACTGGGAATAACTAGACCCCTCATCGTTATTCGAGTCATAAAGAAACTGGTTTAGGAGACCCATTCGACTCAAGTATGCAGTTATAGAAGTTTACTCGTGGGTCCTTTTTACTGACAGCCTATGGACGACTTCCCTAAAGACGGTGACCCTTTGTTTATCAAACCAGACGAAATATTCTGGATAAATGCCAATTTAAAAATCGTTTCCGAATTATAGGTCATAAAATATAGAAGGTACCCTGGGTGGATCTTCCGTCAAACTGCGACTACTTAATCTAGAGGTCGAACGGAGGGAGAAACGTCCTATAAAGTTTGCGAATTATGTCTCCTAGATTATTAAAACTATTTCTAGCGAATATCTCTTAATAGATCTTACAATTTTAAATCATTTGATTCTGTTTTAAGTACCTAATTGTTTATAAGAATTTTCATCTTTTGTTTGTTTCGATTACTTGTAAGAATTTTCAGTCGAAGGATGAATTTGCAATAATATTATAAGAGTAAGCCTCGTAACCTAATTGACGTCGATATGTCTCATACCGTTCAATGTATCAAATTGGCATTCTGTATGATACAGCAGAACAAAGCACTATTGTCTTCGCATTACGCATTGTATGAAACATCATTTCTCAATATATTACTCTAATGTATTGTTGCATGCAGAAAATTCTATAATTTCCAGGCTAGTGATCGTTTGTCAATAAACGTAATCGATACCAGCTTGAATTTAGACGTGAATAATTATATTTATAAATTTTCTTTTGGTTTAATAATGTTGTTAATTATTTAGTTTTTATAATGTTGGAGAACAAGCAGCATGAAAACTATAAATTTATAATTGTATCAGTATTCAAGTAACTATCTATATTTCACACGCTTAATTGTATCAGTGATTTAAATAAAATAAATATTACTTGCATAATGTATACAAACGACTGTATCTAAATATTGATGTGCAAATCTGTATAATAGATACAATGTGATAAATACAAAAGAGGTAGAGAATTACACTCCCACCATTGACCCAAAAATCTTTTCTCTGAATTTTCATCGTTTCAAACATTTTAGAAATTTCTAATCGATTCATAAATTTTGGATAACGATCAGAATTCTAATATTTCTATTTCTATTTCTAATTTCTAAGACTGGAACTCTTGAATACTCAAGTTCTCGATCGACGAATTAAAAAAATAATTCATAATTTATTTGTCACAATATAAAACCCTTTTAAATACAAGGATTTTACCTGCTTCTTTAATTAAATCATTACTATTATCCTTACGTTTGGATGAAAAAGACGTTAGACGAAATATGTTAGCATCAATTAAATTATTGCTATAACCGTTTACGTGAATTCGATTCCGCTTTGGCATATCGATGCAATATCCTGATACGAAACTCCATTACGAAATTGTACTCATTTGAATACATAGGGTGACATAAAATTACGTAACACCGTAAAAGGAACAAGCTACAACTGTTCCGCGAATGTGTTCAGACAATTGTGCGTGTGTACGTCCTACACAGAACAGGTTGGTACATTTGGGTACAGCTACTAGGAACTTTTAGCAAGTGCAGTCACGTTAATCCTTAAAGCGACGACGGCCTTAGCAGAGTTAGCTGCAAATTGTCAACGACAAAACGTGTTAATTTGCACTACTGCAGCGGTGAATTTAACGACTCTTTGAGAAGCAATGTTAATTTCTGCTTCGTTGTTCTTTTTGTATTAATCATCCGCGACGAGAAGTGTTATCTTGAAACATTCACGAGTGTCTGCACAATTTCGCCAGTGACCCATTTCACAGTAATAATTGCATATGGTTGCCTTTAAAATTCTTAACAGAAAATATTGCAACGATAAAGAAGCTTCTAGCATTGTTGTGGACTGGAATAAACGATTGAATACAGAAAGATTAATCCAGTATTTTTAATAACCGATGAAAATGTTTGAAAAGAACCAAATTAGTTTATCCACTTTTACGTTGCTCTCAATTTATAGGGTGTTCCGTGTGTTGGTAACTTGTACCTGTGCTTACCTTCGCGAGGGGTGCCCAATATAACATCGTCGTATCTTGATTCTCGATACAAGCTTGTAAATGCCCGGACCTCTACAAGATTGCATCGAGAAACAAAGTGGTCGAGCTGAAGACCTCTCGTGAAAGTGAGCACGTACAAGCTACTAAAATCTAAAACACGCAACTGCCTATACTTCGAAAACATGCTCGAATCGAACATACGTTTCTAAACTTTTCATTAGTTCTGTGTAGACAATTTTCAAGTGGATCGAAGACAAAAGATTGTATGCAGGTGGACAAACAAATATTATATAGAGTTGAAAATATATATTTATATCTGTTCTTTTCATTCGAATATTTTAGTAATGATAAATAAATAACATATTGAAAGCAAACAAAAAGTTTAATACAGTGGGATTTGCGTAAATCTTCCTTTATAAGTATCGAACGTATCGTTGCCATTATTTCACTGCATCGCGCGACTGGATACGAAGTTATTTAACACTAAACCTACCGCAACCTGTCAAATGACAAATTTTAAATTTCGTTCCGAAATTTCTAACATACAATGTTATTTTTCAATATTTATGTGATGTATCACGGTAATGTAAATAGGAAATATGTAGCAAAGATGAAACGATAGAATCTTCAGTTTCCACAGTCTAAGAATGCGTATTAAAAATACTAAAATTTTAAACGCGTGCAGTTCCGAAGCTATTAAGGTTTTATCCATTATTGAGCCACTGTTAGAAGCGACAAGGCTTCCTCTTTAAAATGGTTTTTGGTTTTTGACGATCCGACTATCCGTTTTGGAGATATCGTCGTGTAAAGGAAAGTGTAATTTTTTAATTTCCACTATCTCTGTCTCCGTCTGACGCATGGGATGGGACCTCTCGCTCGCACGTGAGTCCAAGAATTTACTACGCACTGTTTACTACGAGCACGTACGGTCATTGACCTCGCGGCAATGAAACGTAAACAAACGCTTCGAACCCTTATATCTCCCGAACTAGTCATCCGATCGACTTGAAACTAAAATCGTCATATCTCCGGAACTAATTACGCTATCGACTTGCACGAACGCTCATTTTAAAGGGCATTTCATCCTCTATCCAATGAATATATCATTCATTACAATTTATGCTATCTTCTATGTTTATTTTGACATTTGCTTTGACTCCATATACTCAAAGAAGTTTCAGTTCCTATTAATTGTATGAAAAACTGTTTCGTGGTAGTGGTATCTTTTATATTAGCAATAGTTTCTTTAATTTCATTGATCATACGACTGGCGCGCGATAAAACTGGATTGTAAATTGTTTATGTAATTGAAAATGAATTTAAATTTGCATTGATATCCAATGAACACTGTCAATAATTTTCTGTTTCCGAAAACTTGAAATCCCGTCGATGGACGGTGCGCCTTTAGAGTTTAAAGCGATCTACCTTTGAGAAGCGCTGGTCTATTTAAATGAAAGAGGAATGTGTCTAAAATTACTGTTCGATTGAGAAGGATTGTTGCGAATAGAATCAATCGTATGATTTCTCGAATTCAGCGTTCACCTCAGAATAAGTTTCAGATGATTCATCAGGTCTGTTTAGCCGGGCACGAAGGCCGCTCCAGTTTCTTAGCGAAAATCGGAGATTAAAGTAACGATCGCGCAAGGTCTCGATTGATTCATCTCATGTGTTCGACGTACATCTCGTTATGTCTTTTTACCTTGAGATAATCGGAGAAACACCTTTTAGAGATAATTTAATTAAAGTAACTATCCAAATAATTTTACATACAAATTTTCAAATATGTTTTTCTCGATAACAGAAAGTGTTACGAAAAATTTTATTCAACATTTTCTACTACCATTACTGGAACATTCTGTATTTGCTAAATTCTTTTAAAAGAATTTCAATGAAATATGCCCAACATAGAAACAGACGAATAATACAAATTCGTTAATGATAAATAAAATTCTTTTGCAAAAACCATAAATTAGTTAAGCAGATGTTATTCTAAGATGCAACGTCCATTAGCCGAAGGGAAGGCAAGTCGTAAGAAACTAATTTGTACAACGGTATCAAAAAAAGCTCGAGACACTTCGCAGATGTTTTCGCATCGCAAAAGTCGGATGGACACATTTGGCAACACTTTAGAGAACGTGTTCTTAAGAACGAAAGAACATGTTTCTCATATCTCTTCATATTCGACAGTGTTTTACGCCAGTCGACGAGTCGAGGGAGCCATAAATTAGGAAACTCCGCTCGACTACTCTACAAACCTAGCTTGCTTTTCCTCGGATACTTTCCATCCCATTTCGTGACTTCTCATTTGCATTTCCTTTTCTTTGGCCTGCCTTACGTACACCTACACCTTGTCATGGTACCTTTCAACTTCTTCGCTAAGTAACCAATCCCCGACTGACCGCACCCAATTCTTCCCTTGTTACTCCGATTCCTCCATATCAAAGCTTTGTTGGG